CATAAATATCCAAACTGCTAAAATATGAATTGTAAACAATGAGTTATAGTCACTCATTGTAAACAGTGAGTATAGTTGACTAGAGTCAACCCTAGACCACCACCCATTAAGGAGAAAAAGGCGATAAACTACCTGTAAACTTCATGAGTTTTTGGTCAACAAACTTTTCTCTAGGGTTCAGGGAAGAACTAGGGAATAGTGAAATACTCAAAACAGTTGAGGGAAAGTTGAGAGAGGAACAGAGGGGGTTAAAGAGTGAATCAGGAGGCTCTGGTAATGCATAAGCAAGCAATAAACAAGACAGGATTATTGTTATACTGGATTTAGTCTTCAGTAAATAGCACTCATTTCCTAGGCAGTGAAAATTGTTAAGCACTACAAAGGTGAGGGGCTATTCCTGCCTCAGGGCAGCTTAATCAAGTTGCCCTCATAGCTGTGTTTGCTGGTTGTTTTATTTTTTTAACCTGGTGAGGAGGAGCATGTGGATGGAGTATTTGCTCCTCTCTGCTACCGATCCTTGAATTGTCTCTCTCCACCCTACCCTGGTATAAAAAGTGAAGGACTAAATCCTTGGCTTACTGCTCTTTAGTCAGTCAATTCTATATCCCATTTAGAGAAGCAGCAGTAGGAGATAAAACTCCTGGAAGCAAGCGCCTAGCCTCTGGTGCTTAGATAAAATATAATGAACTGAGTCTCTTACTCTATCATCATCATAGTTCACTTTCTTTTGTTTTAGTGAGAAGGCAGAAGAGATTTTGACTAGAGATTGTTAACTAGACAAAAATAAGATGTTATACAAATGAAAATAGTTTTCCTGTCTCCATGCAATTTTTGTTAATAACAACACGTGTAACAAAAACTACTTGCGAAAGCTATACCTTATAAATAAGACCGAATGAACTAAATACTATTTTTAGTGACTCACTTGTGTATGATCTCATTTTACTCCTCTTTCTCCTTTTTAAATCCAACTTCAACCCAGGGTTCCCATTTTCTTCCCCATTCTCTTTTTTTTGGCTTTTTAAGAAAAAACAGGGCTCCTTGAATCTGATATCTAATCCTTAAACTAGGTACTCAGTCCTCACTTCACAAGTCATTTGCTGAAAGTATTTTCATTATTTTCATAATTATATTTGATACTAAAGTTATGTTTCGAGGCTACTTCCCCAACCATCTTCTGGATCAAGAAATGTAAAATAATTTTAATATAGACTGAAAACTATGTGTATGTAAAAATATACATCTCTGGCGAAAACATGTAAAATTTCAAAATTAAAAAAAATGTTTTCAATTGTGAAACCCTGTTATTCCTTTTGTTCTCTTTAGGCACATAAGCCTTACTGAACTATCTCACAAAGGCCTCTAGTAAATTAATTCAGCAGAGGTGGGGTGCAAGATTGATGATATAGAATCAAAGAGGATTTAAGGTATGTTATCCCAATAACTGGATGACAAGAGGTCATGGTACATGAGTACCTACACTGCAGTTCTTGTTTTACTCATTTGCCACCTCCAAAAGTACAAGATGATTTCTAGGCTCCTCATTAAACCAGTATCACGAGACCTACCTCCTCACAAACTGTAGAAAAGCGGTTGAGGAACTGTACAGTGTGCACCACAAATTGGTTTAGAAATGCCACCGTTCTTTTCTGTTGAATAGCTGGCACCTGTGTCATGTAAAAACAAACATGATTTGTACAGGAGGAAGTACACCGTGCAAACCCTTTGACGTCAATTATATATAATAATAATAACGGGGCATTTTTGCTGTATTATATGAGTTACTCTAAGTACTACGAATAGTCACTAACTCGTTTTCCTAAACTGTGGGGTGGGGCGTCTGATGACAGAAGCCGCAAAGTTTGAGTATGCGCTTTGGATTCACAAACGTGAACTTTAACAGATAAAAGGCAACACACATAAACACACAAAACTTGCGGGCCATATAAAAGAGGTAGGGTTAGAGGTCGCAACCTGCTCCTATCGCCGTCGTGTAACCGGAGCGTAGAGCGACTCCTAATACGGGAAGCAAAGACCAGAAAAAGTACACCACCCCTTTAAACAGATCAGGAGGGACCCCTTTTTAAGGTGAACTGTGGGACTCTTCCCTCCCGAGGGCAGGACCAGAGAGGCCCGGGGCCAGGGACAGGGTTGGATATGGAGAGGTGGTGTGTCCCTGGGAACCGAAGTTTCCTTCCCCATCCTCCTCCCAGGTCGCCTAAGTTCAACTCGGTCGTTTACAAACCTTCGTCAGGTCTATGCCTGACCCCATGAGGGGAAGCCCGTCCTCATCCATCTCCTCAGCGGGCGGGGGACCCCGGGCTCACCCACAAACCCCTCCTAGACCGGGCCCGCCCAACCCGGTAATAATGTCCAAACACCTCCCCCTAGTCCCCACCTCCAGGGCCCTTCCCACCGGAAGGAAACGCCTCCGCTTGCCAATCACGCCGCTGCTCCCGTAGAACCCGGCTCTTTGCGCGGCATTCTGGGATTGGTAGTTCAAATCGGGATTGTGACTACGTCAGACGCAAATGCGCGCGCGGGGTGGGGAAAGACTGTAGGTTTAGCAGTAAAGTCTTTAAAAGGGGGTAAAAAGAAAAAAAAAAAAAAACACTGAGTCTGGGTAAGATTATTCCTGCTTAGTCCTGTCATATGAATTGCAAAGTCATTCGTTAATAAAACCTATACATTTTTAAAATGCTGCTAAATCCTGGGTACTCTCCTTTAGGTCCTGTGGGGAATACAAAGATTGAGTCAGGTTTAGCCTGCTGCGCTGGAGAGGTTAATGCCCTGAAGCAGGACACAAAACTTGTTTCCTAAGGACTTTAAACATGAAATAAAATGTCAAATGCTACAAGTGAGGCAAAAACCGATGAAAGTGGGTTTTTTTGTTTGTTTGTTTGTTTTTCACTTAGATCATCAAAAAGGTACAACAGACAGACACCTGGACAGAATTTTGCATCAAGGGGTTTGAAGATCTTGGCTCAGATTTTGACGGTTCAGCTTAGCACCTATAGGACCTAGGAACAGCCACCAAACCAACATGTGATCCCCTTCGTTGTAATTTTCCGTCTATACAGCCACATCTCAAGTTCCAACATTCTCTGATGCCTGGGTTTCTGTAATAGCCTCTTCCTGCCTCCATCTGTGTTGCTCTAACTGAAACACATCGTAGCCATATAGTGACTGTTTAAAAGACAAACCTGATTATATTACACAGGATATAATTTTGCTTCTCATTTCTCTCACTTTAATGTGCTTACAAGGCCCTCTGTATGGCTCTTGCTCACCTCTCTAACCTCACTTCTCACTATTCCCTCCATTTAACTCCCCCAAATTTCTTTAAGTTCTTGAAACCAGGAATTGCTCTGGGAATTAAATATGTTGTCTCCTTTGCCTAGAACAATCTCCCTTGTTCCCTGACCACCCCTGCCTAACTCCTACTTATTCTCATCTCCTTTATCCTTGTTTTCAACGGTTTGAATACTGTGAACTTGGATGTAATTTTCTTTGTATTTATCCCTCTTCAAATTTGCTGAGCTCACATCTGTGGTTTGATGTTTTAAATTTTGGAATATTTTTTGGCCATTAAGTTTTCAAAACAAAGTTTTTTTCTGTCACATTTCCTCTTCTTTTCTGGAACTCCAAAATACATGTATGTTAGATCACTTGACACTGTCCAAAGTTCATTGATGCTCTGCTCATTTTTTTCTCCCTGTGCTTCAGAGTAGATAATTCTTATCGACTTATCTTCAAACTTACTGATACCTTGTTTTCTAGTGTTCAGTTTATTATAAAACTACTTATCCAATGAATTTTTATTTTAGATTTTTCAGTTCTAAAATGTCCATTTTTAGGAGTTTCTATTTTTCTCCTGAAATTCCCTGCACCCATCTTGCCCTGTATGTGTGTGTGTGTGTGTGTGTGTGTGTGTGTGTGTGTATAACCATTTTATTTAATTTATTTTTTAATTTATAACCAAGTTAGTTTTCATATAGTGCAACAATGATTTCAGGGGTAGATTCCTTAGTGCCCCTTACCCATTTAGCCCATCCCCCCTCCACAAGCCCTCCATTAACCCTCTGTTTGTTCTCCATGTTTAAGAGTCTCTTATGTTTTGTCCCCCTTTATGTTTTTATATTATTTTTGCTCCCCTTCCCTTATGTTCATCTATTTTGTATCTTAAAGTCCTCAAAAATATGGAAGCTTCACGAATTTGCGTGTCACCCTTGCGCAGGGGCCATGCTAATCTTCTCTGTATCATTCCAATTTTAGTATATGTGCTGCCGAAATGAGCACCCCTGTATATATTTTTTAAAACTAATTTATAATTGTCACTTTCAAGTTCTTATCTAATGATTCTCATATCTGGTTCAGCTATTATGTCTGCTTCTGTTGGCTTTTTCTTGATTATGTGTTATATTGCCTACATTTGGGGATGATACATAATTTTAATTTTTATTCCGGAAATGGTGGGGGAAAAAAAAGGAACAATGGAGATTAAGTGAGGAACTCTTTCAAAACCTGAGTTGAACTGGTGCTAGGCTATAGTTTTAATTAGATTGAGTTCACTTGGAATTAGCCCAACTCCTGGTCTCCTGCAAAGGCTTGAGCTCTTTATCTTGTCAATATTTGAGTTAGAGGGGAATGGTCTATGGTTTCAGAACATTTTGGTTTGCCTTTGTATTCGACTTCAGCAAGGCCCAGGAATCCAAGCACCACGAGAATGTGCAAGACTTAGTGTATTCTCTCTACTGCTGCTTTCTTAACAACCTTGGGGGTGGGATGTAGGCCTAAGTGATTTGTTTTTGTCCCTCTAGACCCGACATCTCTATAGAATTTAGTTCATTAAGCTCTTATTCCATCCACTGCTTTCCAACAGCCCCATGGAAAAGTATGATTTTTGTTTTATCTGGTCATCATTACAACAGATGTGAGAGGTTTTCTTGCATCTTTATTCATCCTAACAAGTAGCAGAAGCCTTATCGTCCTATCCTTAGAGAAGTGGATCTGCCAACATTAGGCTAACTGTTCCTCTGAATATATGCCTCTCTAGCATCCTCCGGATCACTTTATCTTAGCACATTTTAGAATTTTTTTTTAATGCTTATTTATTTTTGGGAAAGGGAGAGACAGAGTGCGAGTGAGGGAGGGGCAGAGAGAGAGAGAGAGAGGGACAGAACCTGAAGCAGGTTCCAGGCTCTGAGCTGTCAGTACGGAGTCCGACGCGGGGCTTGAACTCACAAGCTGTGAGATCATGACCTGAGCTGAAGTCGGGTGCTTAACTGACTGAGCAACCCAGGCTCCCCAATCTTAGCACATTTTATACTTGCCTGTTTGCCTAAATGTCTACTAGACTGTTGATTCCAGGCAGAGATTCTGCCTTATTCACTAGTAAGGCCCTGGCCCAATGACTGACCTAAGGTAAATCCTTAAGTATCTGTCAAATGACATTTGGGCCTAATGACCCTTGTGCTTCCATATCGTACTTGATCTTCCACTTGATCTTTGATTTAGACCGCACTCATAATTCTGAGTAAACTCATTCAATTAGCCACCCTTGAGCACAGTCCCCAACTGGCCAGCCTAGCCTTCCTCTTCAGAGCCAGGAGAGGCTCCCAGTGATAGGAAAAAAACCAAAAAACCAGACAGTCACTTCATGGTTATGTATGTCATCTGTAAGTAGTAGGCATGCATACAGATGGTATAGAACTACAGAAACATGAACTTGTTCTTAGTCGGCCAGGTGACAATTTTTTTTTTCAAACTGGTTTGGTTTCTTAAAAAAAAAAAAAAAGACAAATGTAATGCTAGATGTGATTTTTAGTTAACAGAAAGAAGACTGGCTGCTTCTCTCTGCCTCCTGGGGTCCTTGATGATTACTGCTCATCAGTCATCCACAGCTCCTGATAAGCAGTGCCATTCACAGTTTAATAACTGAATTTCCAGGACTACTACAAACAATTTATAGCTAGAAGTCTTGGCCAACTGCCAGAAATCCTCTGAAGTATGTACTTCTTCCTCCAGGCTTTCATTGGAAATGTATTACCAGGTTTCATTTACTATGGTGAATTTTGGAGGCAGTGAAACAAGTAGACTATAATGAATACTTATTTCAAAGGGCATATATATATATATATATATATATATATATAATCACCTGCATACATCCATTCAATAAAAAAATCTTAAGAATTTTTCAATGGTATGTTTGTTTTCACAGATCACTAGAAAATAACTTTAGTTTTATCATGGATAAGTTCTTAGGTAAGTGGAACAAGGAGAATTTGGTTCCTATTTTTCTTTTGCATTTCTTCCTGCTCTGCTACAGGATGAATAGAGGGGTGGGGTGTTTCTTCATAAAAGTGGGAAAATAAAATGAAATGTCTCCTATCTGTTCTCACCACCCCATCGCTCATGAAGTGATACAAATTATCTATTGGGACTTGGTTAAGGGAAGGAATTTTAGCCTAATTATTTCAAATCTGTTAAGAATTAAATGTCTTGGCTACTTATTTTAATTGTTTTGCCTTTTCAAACTTCCAGACTCAGTTGAGTTGTAGGCCTATAGCCTAGTGGCAGGGAACTGGATTCTTCTCTAGAAAGCTATCTCCAGGGAAGAGATCTAAAGGTAGTTAGGCGTCCCCAATAAAACAGCAAATAGCTTAGTAATGATCCTGCTTTCTTTGAAGGGGCCAGTGGGGGAAGCTCTCACTGTTGCATTTGTACCCACCGGTTTTAATTTATGGAGGTGACTAAGTGATGACAGAGTAATGCTATTAAGAGTTTATTCCTTACATTTCCCAAAAGAAGGGGGCACACCATGCCACACAGGGCCACAGGAAAATGCAAGATTTTGATAAGGAGGCAGACAGAAGCAGGAGCCAGGGGAAAGCACAGGCCAGAGTCTTTACTGGGGTTTCTGTGGGAAAGGAAAAGCAGGGCAGAGGAAGCATTTGAAGACTGGCCTGGCTAGTGTGAATGATTCTGGTGAGCTTTCAGGCATGGGAGCTGCCCGTAGCTCTCTGTACCTGGCCCTGAGTTGATATAGGGCAGGGGGAATGTTGGCTTGGTGTATAAGAGTTAGATAAGGGCTCCAGATTGATTGGTTTACATATGAAAAATGTATTTCCAAGTAAGTTGTTTTACTATTTTTAGGAACTAGCCAGCCCCGGAAGAGGCAGTTTCTCCTCTTGAGGTCACAAAAGCCAGAGTCTCAAGAATATAGGCAATTAAAAAATATATAGTCAATTGGCCCATCACAATTAGTGATGGATGCTAAAAAGACATATACAGAATCTAAGAAAATAGTGAGAATACTCACCTTTCAGTATGTGGATTTTAGGTAATAGTTTCAGCAAGGCACCCTACTCC